ACGAAGCTAAAAATCAACTCCTACGAATACTGAACATTTCATGGAAAACTGGTAAACTACCAAAGAATTGGAAGATATCAATTATAGTGCCAATACTGAAACCAAACAAAGATGCTAAGGAATGCAAGAACTATCGGCCAATTGCTCTTACCAGCATACTTTGTAAAATAACAGAATGAATAATCCACTCTAGGCTCATAGTCTGGCTCACTAACAATAATAAAATAAACTTCTACCAAACTGCCTAAAGATCCAGACACTGTACACAACTGATAAACTTTTCTACTTCTGTCAATCAATAATAGATTTCTAGGAAAAACCGCATAAAGAAGACAACGGCCGTATTCCTGGATATGACCTCAGCTTTTGATCGAGTGTAGAAATTATTTGAAAGGCTGCACAACATCGGAGTAAGGGGAAAAACCTTAATCTGGATTGCAGACTTCTTAAGGGGAAGAAGGATAAAGGTTCGGGTCAATGGAACATTTTCCAAGGACCGAAGATCATGGGCTGGTGTACTTCAGGGATCTGTGCTCAGTCCTCTACTCTTCTCGCTATATACGAGGGCCATCCAATAAATAAGTTTCCCTATTTTTTTTCTGCGAACGAAACGTTGTAAAAATTAGTTAGCATAGAAGAAATGGTCACTAGGATGCGTTGGAAGCTGGTGACCTTCAAAATCACGCTACTCGTACGCGCAAGTTCGTAGCGCTTCAGTTTCCATGGAGCTACCACTGGTGAACGTGTCCACTTGCGAACTCCGTTCTGTAATTCGTTTTTTCACGGCGAAAAATTAAACTGCGGTCAATATTCATTGCAAATCAGTGTCAGTGTATGGTGAAGAATGTATGAGCATCCAAATGGTTCGCCGATGGCGTTCATGGTTCTTAGAAGGACGGCAAAACGTGCATGATGACGAGCGAAGTGGTAGCCCCGTTACTGCTACGGACAATGCAGCCGTTGCTGCTGTTCGAAATGTGGTGGAAGCAGATCGTCGCGTCACCATTGACGAAATAATGATTCGAATGCCTCCTAGAATCGAAATTAGACGCTCTTCGATTGGAACAATCATGTCAGATGTTTTGAATTTTCGCAAAGTCTGCGCAAGATGGGTCCCGTGTTTGCTCTTGGAAAACACAAGCAACAACGGATGGAGGCAGCCCGAGCTTTCCTGGAAATGCATCAAAGAGATGGAGATCAACTTTTTTTCCGTATTGTCACTGGAGATGAAAGCTGGGTGCATCTTTCAACTCCAGAAACAAAACGACAAAGCATGGTGTGGAAGAAGCCTGAGGAAAGTGCACCAAAAAAGGCGAAAATCACAATCTCTGCAGGAAAAGTTATGGCTATGGAAAACTTCAAATGGGAAATTTTCACACATCCACCTTATTCTCCGGAACTTTCCCCAAGCGACTTCCATCTTTATCCAGCACTCAAGTGGCACCTTAGAGGCAAGCACTTTGCAAATGATGAAGTGCAGGCGGAGGCGAACCACTGGCTACGAAGACAGGACACGGCTTGGTACAACAGTGGTATCTAAAAATCGCTACAACGGTACCAAAAATGTTTAGACAGAAATGGTGATTATTTAGAGAGGTAGTCTATTAGTTGTATAATGAAAATAAAATAACTGCATAATTGTAAATAATGTGGTTTATTTGTTAAAAAATAGGGAAACTTATTTATTGGATGGCCCTCGTATTAACCGTTGTTTATGTAAATAGATGAATATTATTCGTATTATTTAAAGCCTCATTATGTAAAAATATATGTATATATAAATTCTACATTTGTTGTTGGCCATGGTCAAGTTTGAGCTCTTGTACGTCTAATTACGACACAACAAAAGTGGCGACGAGGATGCGCGATCTACAGAGCCAGTAAAAAGCTGAGGAAAACGGTGTCTATGCAAGTATAACAACTACATTATTAATAGGCTAATCTCTTAATAGAATGTTAAAAAATCAATAAGCTTGAGGGATGAGTATCTTTAGTAAATAAATTTATTTCAAGCTTTCGGGCTCAACCGCCCTTCGACAGGAAAATTTTCCTGTCGAAGGGCGGTTGAGACCGAAAGCTTGAAATAAATTTATTTACTAAAGATACTCATCCCTCAAGCTTATTGATTTTTTAACATAACAACTACATCTTTTAAACAAATCTGACTCTCGGATTATGGAGAGGAAAAATAGGAAAATGGGTTAAGATTACATCTTTTAAACTATCTGGATCAAGAAAACAAAGGAGTAGAAAAGATCAGCATGACAAGTTCAAAGTTAATAGTACCTTTTAGATGATATAGCCCAGTGGAGGTCACTTCGATCTTTTTGTACAAAAATTTGAGGCTTACTTTTTGGCATCTGAAGGAGGAGATTAAAGTGCTGATTTTTACCTCGCTACCAGATTCTGAAACTTTGAAGCAGGGAAACGACATTTTCTTCCTGGTCTAATGAAAGATCAACCCTATGATACTATCATTCAAAGAATTAAGCTGCATTTGGATCCAAAGAAGAAAGTGATACCACAGCGGTGCAGATTTTTAAAGAGAATTCAACGGGAAGGAGAATCAATTTCGGAATGTCTTAGAGAATTGAAACATTTGGCAATAAATTGTAATTTCGTCCATATGTTGGGAACCATGATGCGAGACCGTTTTGTGGCTGGAATCAAGTCGGAAATCCTGCAAAAGAAGCTACTACAAGAGGACGACGATGTCACCCTGGATAAAGTTTTTGCAGTGGCGATCGCGTTCGAATTGGCGGAGATAAATACAAGAGAATTACAAGATAAATTAGTGGCCAAGATATCCCCTGTGAATTGAAAGGATAAAAAGGGCGAGTACAATAATAGTACGGCGCAGTATAGACCTTTCAGGCAAAGTGGCAAAGGCAAAATAGTGTGTTATAGATGTGGTGAAAGACATTCACACGTGGCATCTGTTTTACCTCATAGAACAAAGACTTGTTTTAAAATGTAATAAACTGGGTCATTTAAGTAGGGTCTGCAAAGCTAGTAAAAGAATGTGGGGATGTAAATTTGTACAAGAGGACTCTATATATTCTGTACAGGGCGAAACTGATGCCACAATAAATTTACCAGTAGATGAATATTCTTTGTGTTTTACAATAGATACAGGAACTCCAGTTACGTTAATACCTAAAGATATTTATAAGAATTATTGGCAAGATAAAAGATTATTTCCAACAAATTTAAGATTAAAATCCTTTTGTGGTAAATCAATAGATATTATAGATCATAGAAATGTTTTTGTAAAAGAAGCCAACCAATATTTACGATTAATAGTTGTAAATGAAAAAATCCAGGTAATTTTATTAGGAAGAGAATGGCTTAAACAGTTGAAACTTGATTATTCTATATTGTTTAGCATTAAAATTTTAAATAATGAATATAATAAAAATATATTTAAATATATAAATATTTGATGGATAGGTATGCAGATTTGTTTAACAAAGATTTGGGCTGTCTCTAAAGGACGTTAGAATAAATTTTAATTTAAAAAAGGATGTGACTTCTGTGTTTTGTAAGGCCAGAAGTTTACCTTTCTCTCTAAAAAACAAAGTAGAGAATGAAATTGATCGTTTAGTGAATTCTTGCATTTTATAACCTATAGTTCATGCATATTGGACCGCTCCAATAGTACCGGCATCATAAAAGGATGGTAGTGTAAGGATATGTGGTGATTTTAGATGTACAGCTAATAAAGCAATATAATTAGATAGGTATCCCATTCCATCGATCGATGAGATCTTTTCAAAATTATCTACAAGCACCGTACTTTCGACTCTAGACCTATCACAGGCTTACTTACAAGTAATGTTAGCGGAAGAAGCCAAAGCTGTTGTTGATATAAACACAACAAAGAGGTTGTTTTCTTATAAAAGACTACCATATGACGTAGCGGTAGCACCAAATAGATTTCAGAGGATTATGGAAGGCCTATTTTCTGATTTGCCAGGTGTGGCCTGCTACATAGATGATATTTTGGTTGCAGGAAAAGACTTTGAAGATCATGAACAAAAGTTGGATCTAGTGTTTAAATGATTGCTAGAAAAAGGTTTAAAGTTAAACAGATATGAATGTAAATTTAAAAAGAAATCGGTGGAATATTTAGGGTTTAAAATGGATAAATATGGACTGCATCTCTTATAAAATAAAATTAAAGCAGTGATAGAGGCGCCTGAACCTAAAGAATGTTTCGCAATTGAGATCTTTCATTGACTCTTAATTTATTATTATAGATTCATTTAGAATATAGCAAACATTTTAGCGCTATTCTATCAACTTTTGAATAAAAATTGTAGATGGAATTGGACGAAAAAATATCGAATGTTATTTAAAAAATGTAAATCATTATTAATGGAATATGGACTAGGCGTAATTCTGAGTCATAGAAATGATAGAAAGGAAGAATTCCCTATAGCTTTTGTTTCTAGAACATTAACTGAAGCGGAAAAACGTTTCTCTCAACTAGAAAAGAAAGCGTTGAGCATAACTTTTGGCGTTGAGAAATTCAGACAATACTTACTGGGACGAAAATTTGTATTGGTCACAGACAACAGACCCTTAATTCATATATTTTCACCTCATAAACCAATTCCCATATGTGCATCATCTAGAATTAAAATATGGTCCTTAAAATTAGCTGCATTTAATTATACTGTGGAATTTCGAAAAACTAGTGATAATTCCAATGTTGACGCATTGTCACGTCTAGAATCGAGTGTCAGGGAGTCTCTTGATGAAGACCAGGTACTTCTTCTTAGGAAGTCGAATGAGGTACCGTTCTCTTTTATGGAGGTGGCTAATGAGACGCCCCAAGATAAAATACTGTCTATAGTATTAAGGAATGTTAGAGAAGGCAACTGTGTGTGTGGAAATTCACAAGGGTACAAAGAGAAAACCCACTAGCTCCTCATTATAAGATCAATGAGGAATTAAGTTTGGAGTTTGGTTGTCTTCAATGGCGTGAAAGAGTGGTAATTCCCCAAAAATTAATATCTTTAATTTTAAATGACTTGCATGAAATACACATGGGGATTGTTAAAATGAAGATGATTGCCAGACGGTATTTTCTGGTGGCCAGGCATAGACAGTAACATCGAGGAGTTAACTAGAGAATGTAGAGTATGCCAAGAATCGGCAAGCATGCCCCCGGCTACCATCTCGGAATGGACTTGGCCCGAAAAACCGTGGCATCGACTTCATCTTGATCTAGCGGGTCCGTTCATGGGAAGAATGTTTTTGGTTCTCGTGGACGCATACTCAAAGTGGATAGAAATTTTTATCATCAAAGATATTACCAGAAAAACGATTATAAGTCATCTTAGAGAAATTCTCGCCAGAATTGGATTGCCCTAATTTTTTGTTACAGATAACGGAAGACAGTTTGTCTCCGGTGAATTCGAGCAATTTACCAAAATGAATGGTATACGGCACACTAAGACCAGTCCGTATAATCCTAGTACAAATGGTTCAGCTGAGAGATATGAAAGAGAGTTTAAAAACCTTTTGAGAAATAATAATGGGAAGGATGATTTAGAGACGAATCTACAAAGATTCCTATTTGCTCATAGAGCATTTCCCCAAACTGTAATAAAGGAATTCCCCAGCGGAACTGCTAATGAAGAGAAGTTTAAGATCAAGATTCTCGAATTTAATACCAAGATGGGAAATCCGCGAGAGGTATTTCAAATGAATTAAAATAAATATAATCGATACTGAGAGAGAGTTGAATTTAAAAAAATAGAAAATTATTATTTTCGAAATATAAATAGCTGAGAGGATTCCAGCAAACCGCATCTAAAATATCAGTTTTTTTTTTTGCTACATGTTTTAATTTGCATATACCTATTTTACATATCTCAGATTGTTTTAAAAATCGTTAACCATTTCTTCTAACTTTTGGCGAAATGGTGTTTTATTAATTTATCGTTTGATATTATTAGGGTTCTTTCCTGGTATTCAAAAAGTAAAAATATGTATCGTTCAGTTATATTTTTCAATTTATCAAACAATTTGGCCGCTGAATCGCTGATTCTGGTATGGCGCCATCTAGTGAATAAAGTTGTTACTAAAATCAATTTCGAATTTTTCATTATTTGCCATAAAAAATCCCATTGCATCCTGAACACAATGGTGTTTACCGCATTGCTCTAGCGCAAATATTCGCGGAGTTATTAATTTTTAAAGTTGTGCGGGACTTTTGGATCACCCTGTATATATATATTTAAAAATAAAGAAGGCATCTCCTGACCACGAGCACATGTGCTTTTTAGATGGCAGAGCGCCATCTAGTGGAGCAAAAATAAACTAAACGTTCATTTAGCTTGCTCCGTGATATTTAGCCAACCCAATTTCTTGATAAATCAAGAAAAGCAATCCACGAAATTTACGCAAATTTGGCCTTAAATACCCATTTCTTGATTTTTCGGGAAGCCATTGGGACCAAAAAATCTTTTTGGTCGCAGTGGTTACAGCCTTCTCCACGCTGACGAGCGCCAACAGCGCGAAACGCGTTCGTGGATGGCTTTTCTTGATTTATCAAGAAATTGGGTTGGCCAAATATCACGGAGCAAGCTAAATAAACGTTTAGTTTATTTTTGCTCCACTAGATGGCGCTCTGCCATCTAAAAAGCACATGTGCTCATGGTCAGGAGATGCCTTCTTTATTTTTAATATCAACACCTGACCCACTTATCTTTTTTTTTCTATTGTTTTTTTCATATATATATTTGTTTGTGTAAAAATAATAATTGAAAAAAATAAAAATGTTAAGGTGTTGCTGTTAAAAACAAAAGAGGCATATCCTGACTACGCTCACGAGAGCATTTTAAGATGACAGAGCGCCATCTAGTGGAACAAAAATAAACTAAACGTTTATTTAACTTGATCCGTGATATTTGGCCAACTCAATTTATATATTCATCAATATCCATTATCACAGTTTGCGTATTTCGACAAATAAAAAAAGGTATAAGAAGCCGCAACTATTTTTATTAATTGTATAAATTAACTTTCGGGAAAGTTCTTCCTCAGTTTTAGTTTGTTGTGGAAGGGCTTGCCCGAAAACCTCATTAAACAATTAATTAAAATAGTTGAGGGGTATCTTATAACTTTTTTTGGTAATTCACCAATATATTCATATAGACCTAGTATCATTTCTTTATTTTACAGAATTATCGGCTAATATTTTATTCCCTTTTCAAGATTATATTCATGTACATATCATTCATGTATATATCAAACTAGCCGAATGATCCGGGCAACGCACGTGATTCCATTTAGTTATTAACAAATATATGCATTTATTTAAGGAGCGACCCGCTCCAACACAATAGTTACAAAAACCAAAAAGCGAGTGGGGGGGGCAAAGTCAAAAACAAAGTGTCTCGCGTAGTGGCGGCGCCATCGTAGCCACGTGATCGTAGCCAACCAGTAGGAGAGCGCCATTCCAAAAAAAAAAAAAAGCAAACGGTGGCAGACATGATGATGCTCGTAACTGTATATATAAATATCCACACACTCATACCAAAAAACTTCAAGAAACTAGCAATATTCCCTCCATATGGGCAATTATGTCTTGAAACGTTGGAAAAATAAATATTTTGTTGTTTTTTTCAGGTGAGATGATATAAATATTTATTATATACTTATAACATTATATTTATTTTATAAATTTGTCATCTTTTCAATTTGTAATAATTATTTATTTCAACATATATAATCAAATATTATCTCTATAGACCTTACTATAATGATAAAAGTTATTGAATTAGCGAGCATATCATTGGCTCATCATTGGTGAACCCTCTAAGAAGATTTTCCAAATCCAGACGGCTTTACTATTTTATTGGATTGGTTTTCTTATATATCCTGCATCTTCTAAGGAAAGAGGCTTAGGGGTGTTTAGATAACCTATGAACATAAGCCTATAGATCTGTAGAGGTGCATACATATAATTACAAGAAATTGCATCGAACAAAGCTCTTACGCAAAATACGGTCTCATATCGAAGCTATAGTAGCAAATTACATTTATAAATTTAATGCCATCTATCGCCATAAAATTCGTAACAATAAATATTTTTTTATTTATCAACATATATAGTCACGACCGTCTGTCGACCTCATGTCACGGATGCGCGCGCATCATCATTATGATCATTATATCATTATCTAATGATAATAATAATAATAATTATTATTATATTATTATTATTATCAACATATATAGTCACGACCGTCTTTCCTCAATCAATTCCTCATCGCTGTCACGGATGCGCGCGCATCATCATTATGATCATTATCATTATCTAATGATAATAATAATAATTATTATTATTATATTATTATTATTTTATTATTATCAACATATATAGTCACGACCGTCTTTCCTCAATCAATTCCTCATCGCTGTCACGGATGCGCGCGCATCATCATTATGATCATTATCATTATCTAATGCTTCTGTCTGTGTGAAGTTCACTGTGTGAAGTTCACGGATAGATTTTGGTCAGAATGGATAAAATAAAAAAAGTGTCAAGGGATGGGTATCGAACCCACGACCTTCCGCTTACCGGGCAGATGCCATGACCACTAGGCTACCCTGGACATATTTTTCCGTTCACATTTTTTATTTTTATATTTTCAAGACACACACAGTTTGGGGCGGGACGTTTCACAAGAGAGACATCCACGGCGCCAATTTATAATTGTAACGAATAGTATTTTAATTAAAACATTTTTAAAATATATATCAACATATATAGTCACAACCGTCTGTCGACCTCATGTCACGGATGCGCGCACATCATCATTATGATCATTATCTTCTATAGAAGCTTCTATCTTTATAATTATGTATATTTACAAAAAGTCAATTCGCTCGCGCCTCTAGCGGTGAAAATGAGGGGTAATACCAGCTGACCTAATGTACATGTAAAGTTTGGAGCGGGACGTTTGACAAGAGTGACATCCACGGCTCCAATTTATAATTCTAACAAATAGTATTGGAATAAAAACATTCAATCGGGTAAAACACGGGCGTTGCCCGGGTCATTCGTCTAGTATTAAAAATAAACACTTCGGCCAGTTAGAGCTTTTTATTTTTCTCAACGTTTCGACAAAAATATTTTGTCTTCGTCAGGAGAAGTAAATAAAAATGAAGCATTTGGCAGGCGTTAAAAATTATTTTCTTTTAACGCCTTGCCAAATACTTTATTTATACGGAGGGTGTTTCCTTTCAAATGAAACGATTTTCGAGCGCTCGCGTTTTGCACGTGCAGGCATGCTGCACACGACACTGGTTCCAATAGATCTAGAATCTTCTGGAGAATTCATTTTCATCAGGTATCATGATTTTTGCAACATGGGGGGAGAGAGACTAACGCTCCAAGTCGAACAAACAATTCGGACCCTTTCCAAAGAAGGAAACAGTTATAGCGTCATAGTGAAAAAGCTAAAATCAGAAGGACTAGATGTTGGCAAAGCTACAATATGTAGGGTAGTGAATGGCATCGGAAAGAAAAGGGAAGCTGAATCCAATGGGCAAAAATTTCAAGTCGATCGACCACGTCCGGTGCGGACCCCCGCCACGGTTTCCAAGGTAAAGCGGCTAGCAACTACTGAAAATCCACCATCTCAGCGCCAACTTTCCAGAATGTGTGGAACATCGCTAAAAACGATAAATAACATCATTCACAAAGATTTGGAACTGGATACCCGACGAAAAGGCAAGGTTCACAAGCTCACCCCTTTCCACATGAAAAACCGTGCAACGAATGCCCGGAAGCTCTACGAGGAACACCTGGCCGGTTCCAGATCGGAATATACTGCAACATTGGACGAAGCATGGATGTATGTGACGTATTGCAATGGAATCCGGAAGATCTGTTACATCAAAAGAGGCAATCAGGTCCCGGATAATTGGGTTCACCAATGCTCCGAAACTTTCCCTAAAGGTTTCATGGTTGTCGGGGTAATGACTGGCCGTGGAGTCCTTCCGCTCATAAAGGTTCCATCGAAGGTGAAGGTGAACTCAGAATTCTATATAGAATGCGTTCTGAAACCTGTCATCGAACAACTGAAGGACCTTTACCCAGGGGAAATGGACAAAGTGTTCCTTCATCACGACAAAGCCTCTTCCCATACCTCCAACAAAACCCAACAGTTCCTACAAGAAATGAAGGACACCCTAGGCCTAAATTTTATCAGGAACTCGGACATTCCAGTGAAGTCTCCCGACGCCAGCCCACTGGATTTTTACGGGTTCGGTATGTTGAAACAACGGCTCTTCAACCGACGTCCCAAAACTGAGGCCGGACTTTGGAAAGCCGCACAAGAGGAGTGGTCGAATGTATCGCTCTCCAAAGTCAAGGAAGTGTTCGCAGCTTGGAAAGTCCGATGCAGGGAGATAGCCAAGAAGAAGGGGAAGCACATAGAACACATGAAAAAAATTCACGTTCGAAAAATAAAGTTCTAACGGACGTTTAATATCGTTTCATTTGAAAGGAAACACCCTCTGTATTTACTTCTTCTGACGAAGACAGAATATTTTTTTCGAAACGTTGAGAAAAATAAATAAGCTCTAACTGGCCGAAGTGTTTATTTTTCATAGAAATATGAATACCGGCCAGGCAACCTCTATCTTTACGATAATAAACATTTTGGCAATATATTACTTTTAATATATTTTATCAAATATAATCTCTATACACCTTACAGCTATGATAAAGGTTTTTCGATGAGAAGGCTTGGCTAATCAGTGGTGAATATTCTCAGCGGTTTCACTAAATTATATATTTGTTCTGAAGTAAAATTTATTCAAAATAAAAAAGTAATTACATATATTTTCTAGTCTAGACAGACTATATACTTCGTTTTTTCAATAAGAAGGATTTAAATTCGTTTAGAAATATCGTGGAAGGAAGTTTCTCCGCCAAAAGTACCTGGGATATCTCGAAATCCTATCGTACAAGATTGATCTGGTATCGCAGCTGTTCTAGACCGATTATAACGCCCCTAGCGGTTCTAATAAACCCGAGTTGGAGCCACAATCTAGAAAATTGTTGACGTCAGGAAATGTGTTGGTCTCACTTTCTAATAGAATATTCGAGTTAAATCCATTTATTAACTTAAATATTTAAAATGTTGTTATATTTGTTCGAAAATATATATATATTTTTCGAAAATATATTTTTTTTTTATTTCTTACATTTATTGTAAAACATCAATATGGTATTATTGATCACTGAAGTGAAAACATAAAGCTTCCAGAGAAAGGTTTCTTTCACAAAATATTTTCAATACGAAGCTCTTGATTTCGGGATTGGAAGCCTTTCTACAGGATAAGAATATAGGAGTAAAAATTTTGGAAGGCACATTTATATAAAATATATAAAAGTTAATGAAAATATTCCCTGGAAGGGAATTGATCAAAACAAAATGATTATAGATATTTCCTCGCACCTTTCCTTAAATCAAATAATACCTTGTAATTACAAAAATATTCATATATTATGAAAGTTTTACTGGCCGACGTATCTTTAATTTTAAGAACTATGAATGCCGGCCAGGCAGCCTCTAACTTTACAACAAAAATATGAATTATTTTAATGTATTTATGAATTTTCTAAAATTATTCCATTGCCCATTCCTACATGAAAAGAGACTGGAAATTCGCGAAATTTCGGGGCCAACTCACTACAATGAACAACATGTATATAAAATCTTCACTACTCTCCTGCTGGATAAAACATTTATTAATAAATATTTTAAATATTTCAAGGCGATTGATAAAATGAGAGAAGAAGTGCTCAACTCCACAGACAACGGCTGATTGCTCCCCCTCCCCTCTAAATTGCTTTTCCTCCTCACTCATGTACATATATAACCTTTTAGGGGAATCCCCTTGTAAGACAATAGTGTCTTAATAAAGGTTGTTGTTGTTGAATTTTCTAAAATGAAGAAGTGATTTTTTTGGGAAACAAATACCATTCTACCGATTTTCAATGTAATCTGTCTTTAAATTAGCCACTTCACTAGTTAAAATATCTCTTTGTCATATTATAGAGGATTTCATCACTAAGTCCGAAGGAACTTGAAAAAACCTAGACATATTGATAAGGATTATAGTCTGAAACCATGGTATACCTTTAGGCTTTTGTTCGAAATGGAAAAATGATGCAGCGAGTTATTTACAAATCTGAAGACATTTAAGAAAATTAATCTACATAATATGCTCAAATAAAATCAATATTGGCGGTATAAATTATATAAGATTTCTAAACGGTAAAATCTTCCCAATTACATGCGTGGTAAGGACGAAATATTCAGGAGATGAGTTTCTTTCAACACTTTATTAGGACATCAAGCTTTCGGGCACAGCGTGGCCCTTCTACAGGATCAAATGTATAAGAAAAATGATACACTATGTACACGAAGAATAAATATGCATATGTATTATTAGAAATTAGTTGTAAAATTTTCAAAATAATCGGTAATACTTAGAATTTTTTTGTTTAAAAAGAATATCGAGACATAAGCAAATTAATAAAATTTGTTAAGAAGAATAATATACGAATATTACAAGGTATTAAGATAAAAGCGTAATAAGACTAAAAGGACGTTCCTACGGTTCGACGGAAACTGTGATAAAATTATGAGTATTTATAAGGTAAAACAGTTTGAAAAGGATATTAAAATAAATGAACAAAACAGGGAATTCATGGGGTACATCGATGGCTATTTATGTAATAAGCTTATATACGGCTCAGGTACATCAACATGTCTGTTTATACTATTATATCTCAGAGATAGCAAGGCCTCGACAACCAATCTTTTGTGTTTATGTGGTATGTTAGAATAATGTGATCTTGGATCAGTTGTGTTGAAACTATGTCCTGTCTGTGATATGTGCTGGACAATAAGTGATTTCGGATCGTTATGTCTGATGTTTCTGTCGTGTTCCTGTATTCTGTCTTTAATGTAACGGCCAGTTTCACCTACATAAACACTGTCGCAATCGTTGGCATTTCCATAACCCATCCCGCACCAAGATATATGACAACTATAAATCCATCTGCACAATACCATATTCCTTGCAAAGCATAAAAATAGCTAGAGAACTAAAGAACTTCGGCATCCGCACTTACTTTTCCAACACCCCTAGTATAGGCACTATCTTAAGGAACCCTATTACTAAAGACAACACACCTCGGAACACTCTTCAAAGAAACAATGCTGTTTATTCCATAAAATGCAACGATTGCGACAGTGTTTATGTAGGTGAAACTGGCCGTTACATTAAAGACAGAATACAGGAACACGACAGAAACATCAGACATAACGATCCGAAATCACTTATTGTCCAGCACATATCACAGACAGGACATAGTTTCAACACAACTGATCCAAGATCACATTATTCTAACATACCACATAAACACAAAAGATTGGTTGTCGAGGCCTTGCTATCTCTGAGATATAATAGTATAAACAGACATGTTGATGTACCTGAGCCGTATATAAGCTTATTACATAAATAGCCATCGATGTACCCCATGAATTCCCTGTTTTGTTCATTTATTTTAATATCCTTTTCAAACTGTTTTACCTTATAAATACTCATAATTTTATCACAGTTTCCGTCGAACCGTAGGAACGTCCTTTTAGTCTTATTACGCTTTTATCTTAATACCTTGTAATATTCGTATATTATTCTTCTTAACAAATTTTATTAATTTGCTTATGTCTCGATATTCTTTTTAAACAAAAAAATTCTAAGTATTACCGATTATTTTAAAAATTTTACAACTAATTTCTAATAATACATATGCAGATTTATTCTTCGTGTATATAGTGTATCATTTTTCTTATACATTTGATCCTGTAGAAGGGCCACGCTGTGCCCGAAAGCTTGATGTCCTAATAAAGTGTTGAAAGAAACTCATCTCCTGAATATTTCGTCCTTACCACGCATAAATTATATAAAATTGCATATGTTTTATCAAATATTATCAAGTGAAAAATTGTATTAAACTGGTTTTGTTTTAGAAAAAGTAATCTCTGTGCAAAATCGCGGAAAATCAAGTGGCAATTACACACATGGACAAAACTTAAGAATTCGTACCTTTTTGCATGTATATCGGGATTAAAAAATAACACTGAAATATATTACAGTGGCTTTATTGAAGACATACGAAATTATCAAGTGCGAGCAAAATTGCCTCTGTCTCGTTTTAAAAACCAGACCTACTGGCGACATAAAAATATCACTCCTTCTCAAGTTTTGTCTATGAGTGTATTATTCAAACACCTGAATAAAAAAAAATTGAAAAGGGTACATATAATATTGTTTTCGTATAACTCTGATTTAAAGTAAGTGACATTTCGGCCAGTAGAGGTGTTTTTATTTAAATGAAAGGTTTTTATTACCATATATTAACAGATTAAGATATTCCTCCTTATATATGTTATGTGATTAAAGTAAGTAAGAAGGATGAATCCGTAACCAATTTAATTTTGCATATTATTTATTATTAATAGCCATTATACAAAACAAATCTTGGTATGTTTTACATGATAACAACAAAAACGATAATTATTATATACATACAAATTCCTTTTCAAAGACGAGCTCATCTATAGCCATTGTTACTCTGTGTAATATTCCAACAATAAATACTTGTTTAGAAAGATGGTGAATGCTTCTATATTAGCTTAGTAGATGTCAAAATTCATTTTTTTTAATTAGCTAAGAGGAACATCTCCAAATTATGAAAACTAGGTTATGTTTGTCCTCAAATGAATTCAAAGTGTTGCCTATAAATGCGATTCATAACAAATTTTTCAATGATCAAATGTGACTATTTGGGGATCGGTGGAGGGATGGTCTAAACCGTTGGTTTTCGACTGCTACGACCCGGGTTCGATTCCCGCATTGGACACTTTTTATGTTTGAAAAAATATGCTCCAATGGCCTCCAATTCTTGCAAAGGTCCAACCCCACCAGCGAGTGCAAGTAACCAAACGGGGCTCTGGCACATTTGTAAGTAAAACAACACTTGAAGTTACACCGCATGAGTTTCTTTTCAATGAAAAATCAAAATTTTATATCAAGGTGAAATATTGACTATTTCTAACCTTTTTGTGCATTGTCGATATGCTTTTCACATGTGTAGACATGTGATGCACTTACAGTAAAAGCAGTCACCTACTTCTACCCACCATGAATATCATGGTCTGTACCACGTGTACTAGGGATAACTAAAAAAAATGTTAATATTTAAATGTCTCATTATGAGAAAAAAACGTTGATAAAAATGTATTTGAAATAAATATGAACTCAGACACACACCTACTAAATGTGGTATTTTAAAATAAATATAGTTTAAAAGAATAAAGTGCGTATCTCTGTGAACAATAGTATATATAATAAAACGTTTTCCGGTTTTTACCCATAAATATCATGTGGAATGCAGGTTATTAAACGCTTTCGGTCTCGATTAAATAGTATTACTTTGATAAACAATAGGTTCAGTTTATAAAAATATTTTCGAGTATAAAAATAAAATAAAATAAAACCTTCCTATAAAATCAGACTATTTTATACTTTAAAATATATTGATAAGCTAAACGAAACAAGTATCAAAAGGAAACTATTTTATCTGAACCAAAAAAAAAGCAATTTTAAAACGCTTCTTCCAGAATGGAATTTTTAAGGAAAACCTTTTTTAAAATTTACCAATCAATGATACAAATACTATTTTTTAAAAACTTTAAAGGCGATATACTCGAACAATCTTACACATGAGGCCATTTCAACACTTAAACTACCGCTTTATCTTTCAAAATGGAGGATTGGTGTTCGAAAATTAAAAATGTAATCACATTAGGAAGTGTCAGCAGATAAATCCCCGTGGAGGGACTGGATATAATCTTCTAAGAAGAAGTAAAATGCAATCAAGGAAATTGTTGTTGGAGTTATACCGGACCTGTAGCAATATTTATACCTAGCACCTTTATTTTCTCTCTCTGAAGTGTTTATTTCCTCACCAATCTCTTCTTTCATTACTTATACCTTAACTCCACGTTCCTCGAACGTTATGTACAAATACATAATATATATGTTATGAATATTTTTTTTGTTGTTAAATAAGGCTTGATAAGACAAAGGATCGATAAGATAAAGTGTTCGGGTGCAGTCGTGATAAGAAAAAGATAATTATTTACCGTCAAGTAGCTTTTATTTTCAATTACTTGAGGAAAGATTACACATTAGTTATTTTCACATTATATAGAATTTATAAAGTTAATCCTATATTAGTGATTTAAAAGGATAGATATGTTAACTACGCATATTTACAACAAAACTATACAACAAAAACTAAAGTCTTTTTAAAAACGATGATAATAAAAGTAAAATTATCAATGAATAAAATAAAATATAGAAATATTTGAGTTTTTAGATTATATAATATATATATATTTTAAATTAAAAAGGTATATATTGGATCAAAATATAATTTAGTTGGCAAACATTATTATGTTATAATACACCTTGAAAAAGGTTGGCGTTCAGTCAACTGATATATTGGTAAAATAAATGACATTTTAATCCAATATGCCTTTTTAATAAATTTTTATTTATGGATTCCTCTATTTTCAATTTATGTCGTAAAATTGTATATATATGTCATATATTTATTTATATCATTGATAATTAAAAGGCATATATTGGATTTAATAAAAGATTTATTTGCCAATATTGGCAAAACAAATTTATTTATATATGTAATATATTTATATATATATATTGTTGCACCAGGTTGCGGCTTGGCAGACTCTTCAGCCTTGATTCTCTCCTGTGCTGGGTCTTGCATCTTCCCAGAGCGTGTTTCAACCATCCTACAAATTTATAAAAGGGAATAATGAGATAAGTCTACTTTATGTAGCCACCAGAATAATTTATTTATTTTCTCACATCAAAGAGAGCAGTGAAGTCACAGTGTACCTAAATACAAATGATGTTAATCTAAAAGTAATCTGTTTTAAATAAATATCATAGAATATAAAAATAAATAAATATATAATTTAAATTTCAAATATATTGAAAATAATATAATAAATACGCCATTAATCATGATGTAACACTTCCCCCTCTCCAGAGGTCGTCACGTCCTCGTGAGTTACCTCATCAATTCTCTCAAAATAGGGTTTGAGTCTTGAGACATGTACAATCAATGGGTCTTGGCCAGGATTATCTTTCGGCTCAATTAAGTAATTTACGTTAGACAGCTTCTTTAATATTCGATATGGGCCAAAATATTTTCTCAATAGTTTTTCGCATTTTCCGATTTTCCTGACTGGTGTCCAAACTGCCACTAAATGTCCTGGTTCATAGATTTTCTCATTGTGTTTTTTGTCATAGTTTCTTTTCATTCTTTCCTGAGTCTTCTCTGTGTTGTTAATGACTACCTGTCTCGTCCTTGCTATTTTATCTAAGTAGTTTTCTATATATTCGTCGTAATCGTCCATGTTACTGTCCGTTGGGATATTCTCGTCGTCTAAGAGGGACATGGGTTCCCTTCCAAACAACAGGAAAAATGGAGAGTAGCCTGTGGTTTCTTGAATCGTGGTATTATACGCGTGGGTGATAAAAGGGAGGATTTCATCCCAGTTCTTTTGGTCTGTGTTCACATACATGCTGATCATATTGATTAAAGTTCTATTTAGCCGTTCCGTTAGTCCGTTAGTCTGGGGGTGGTAGCTCGTTGTGAAGCAGTGTTTCACTTTGCACATTTTCATTACCTCCTTCATCAAATTGCTAGTGAATTGTGAACCTCTATCGCTAATAAGAAATCTTGGGGCCTCGTGACGTAAAATAATATGTTCGATTAAAAATGTAGAGACTTCTTTCACAGTTGCTTCTGATACTGCCTTTGTTTCAGCATACTTGGTATAATAATCAGTCAACACAATTATCCACTTCCTTCTTCTTTTCGTTGATGGCAAGGGGCCAACAAAGTCAATTCCGATTCTTTCAAAAGGGTAGTTAGCTGGGGGAATAGGTTGTAGAAGTCCAGAAGGCAAGTGATTTGAACCTTTCCGACTTTGGCAAAGATGGCACGTCTTTACAAATTCTGAAACATCTTTCAACATGGAAGGCCAATAGTATTTATTCTTCAATCGGTAAGTGGTTCTTGCGACGCCTAGATGGCCATTCAGCATATGGTTGTGGTATTCACTCATGACTTCCTTCCTTCTCTTCTTTGGCACTACCAGCAACCATGCCCTACCTTCAAGATTTGGATTTTTCTTGTAGAGACACCCATTTTCTTCTTTGAAGTTCTGTGTAATTGAACGCTTGTTTCCACTAAGGTTCTCCTTAATATTCTCAATAAAATCATCCTTTTCGTCTATTATTTGATTCAGAAATAGTCTTTCATAATCTTCGTCCCATTCGTTTTCAGGTAAGGGTCCTCTAGATAGACCATCAGCGTCCAGATGTTTTTTACCTGATTTATGTATGATTTCGAAATTATATTCCTGAATCTTCAGTGCCCATCGTGCTAATCGGCCGGTCGGATCTTTCAGATTCTTAAGCCAGCATAGTGCGTGATGATCAGTTACGATTTTGAAGTGCCTTCCATATAGGTAGGGTCGTAACTTGGACATTGACCACACAACAGCTAGACATTCTTTTTCGGTAGTCGAATAATTTTGCTAAGGTTTGCTCAGTGTTCGACTTAAATATGAGATAACTTTTTCTTTATCGCCGAACTTTTGGACTAATGTTGCACCCAGGCCGATGTTAGATGCGTCAGTATGAATGTAAGTAATTGCATTCGGGTCAAAGTGCCCTAAGATTGGAGGATTTATCAATGCTACTTTAAGGGTTTGAAATGCTTTTTCTTGATTTTCTGTCCAGGTA